ATATCTTATCAACCTCTTAGCAACACTCTAACAACCACCTGGAATACCATATCAACCTCTTAGGAACACTAGCAACCACCTGAGGTACCATATCAATGTCTTAGCAACACTCTCACAAACACCTGGAATACCATATCAACCTCTTAGCAATACTCTAGCAACCACCTGGAATACCATATCAACCTTTTAACAACACTATAGCAACCACCTGGAATACCATATCAACCTCTTAGCAATACTATAACAACCACCTGGAATGCCATACCAGCCTCCTAGCGTTACTATAGCAACCACCTGGAATACCATATCAACCTCTTAGTAACACACTAACAACCACCTGGAATACTATAGCAACCTCTTAGTAACACACTAACAACCACCTGGAATACTATAGCAACCTCTTAACATTACTATAGCAACCACTGGAGATACCATATCAACCTCTTAGTAACACTCTAACAACCACCTGACATACCATATCAACCTCTCAGCAACACTCTAGCAACCACCTGACATACCATATCAACCTCTTAGCAATACTATGGCAACCACCTGGAATATCTTATCAACCTCTTAGCAACACTCTAACAACCACCTGGAATACCATATCAACCTCTTAGGAACACTCTAGCAACCACCTGAGGTACCATATCAATGTCTTAGCAACACTCTCACAAACACCTGGAATACCATATCAACCTCTTAGCAATACTCTAGCAACCACCTGGAATACCATATCAACCTCTTAGCAATACTATAACAACCACCTGGAATGCCATACCAGCCTCCTAGCATTACTATAGCAACCACCTGGAATACCATATTAACCTTTTAACAACACTATAGCACCCACCTGGAATACCATATCAACCTCTTAGTAACACACTAACAACCACCTGGAATACTATAGCAACCTCTTAACATTACTATAGCAACCACTGGAGATACCATATCAACCTCTTAGTAACACTCTAACAACCACCTGGAATACCATATCAGCCTCCTAGCATTACTATAGCAACCACTGGGGATACCATATCATTAATTGAGTCTGTTTTTGTTTTGTAGTTTTATTTGGTTTAGTTATTTAATTTTTTTTAATGACTCTTTATCTTTTCTTTTGTTCTACTTTTTTTCTGTTTTTAATGGATGTATTTTCTTCTTTTTATCTTTGATCATATGTTATTTATTTTTCACTTCCTCTCCTGTAATTTGTTTTATGTTTGTCAGGCATTTCATGTATGAAGGGTGCTTTGTAAATAAAGTTTACTATGATGATGATTTTTGATGTACACTCTTAAAAAAGTTGGTATAGAACCCTGAGTTCTATATAGACCCATTTTGTTGCTAAGATCGATGGAGAATGTGTTGTATTCTCCTATATAGCACCTAAAAGGGTTCTGCTATTGTTACAATGTCAAGCTTGTTACAACAGCAGAACCCTTTTTGGTGCTACATAGAACCACATAAAACACATTCTCCATCAGTCTGAAGAATGATTTCACCAGGCAGAGAACCATTTAATCATGCAAATGATTCTGTATAGAACTTATGGTTCTGAACAGAAACATTCCTTTTACTAAAGAACCCTTGAAGAACCATCTTTTTTAAGAGTGTCGTTAAACAGGTTCCAGTAGTTTGTGCTTTTGGTCATCCTCCCGTTCCCATAGCAACATCATCACAGTTTTCACTGCAGTCAGACAGATGTTCCTCCAGATTCTGCCTGAAGGCTGTTTTAGTACCACTGTATCAGCTCCACTGACCACTCTGTAGTTCTACAGTTACAGACTGTAGTCCATCTGTTTCTCTGCATACTTTGTAGCCCCCTTTTACCCTGTTCTTCAGTGGTCAGGACCCCCATGGACCCTCACAGAGCAGGTACTATTTGGGTGGTGGATCATTCTCAGCACTGCTGTAACACTGACGTGGTGGTGGTGTGTTAGTGTGTGTTGCGCTGGTGTGCGTGGATCAGACACAACAGTGCTGCTGGAAACCCTTGTCAAACCATCCTTTTTAAACGGACCTGAACCAGGACCAGGAGCCGTATCACAGAATGTTCCTATCTTTCAGTCTTAAGATCTTTTAGGTCAAGATGAGATTTTTCACAAATTTTTATTACAGAAGCAAATCTGATCTTAATTTAGGGATCTTAAGTTATCTTGCAGCGTCTTATCTCCAGTTAGGAAACCTTGACCTACTCGATCAGAGTCGATAATAAACTGTAATGTCTGTTACGTTATTAAAATAATGTAATGTAACGTAAAAGAATGTTAAAATGTGAGGTAAGCTGCTGTAAAAAACCTCAAAACAGAATTAAAGTGTGATACTGTAAGTAGTGAATGCTGTGAGAGCGCCCCCTGCTGTTTATCAGAGCGTCGCCGCTCCCCAGTTTCAGTCTCCATTTCCCAAACGCTTTAGCCGAGCGCGCTAACGTTACTCCTCCTAATAAACAGACACACGTTCAGCTCCGCCTCCTCATTATTCACCACCATCACTGTAATATTTCATCATCAACATTAACACACGAAGGTGATCAGAGGGGCGGTGGAGATCGAGTCTGCAGCGTCTGAGATCTTTAAAACGCAGAGTTAGAAAAGAAAATCATCTCACAGTGAAAGCAGCGTTTTACAGTAGAGATAAATGGAGCTCATTATGCTGGTAGTGAACTATGCTGCTGACTCAGCTGCCTAAAAACCATAGAAACGGACCTTAAACAGAAGTGAGGACCCTGTTGGGGTTCATCCTAAAGTTAGGACAGGATTTAGGAGGTTTAGTCTAGTTAGGATGTTTGTGTGATGCTGTTTTCTTATCTGGAGTTCATGATCAGATTATGAAGTTAGGAGCTGTTATTCTGGAATAGATACTGTCCTGAATTCAGTCCGACTGAAGTCGCCATGGAGACTAAACTGATCAGATTTCAGAGTCCAGATGATTCTGTAATACAGACTCTGGACCAGAACCAGAAGCACAGATTTAAATAAAGCAGAGTGTGTCAGTGTTTGAGAGCAGCTGTCAGCAGAGCTGATGACTGACACGTCACGTTCACGTGCACGGCCATGACTTATTGGCGCTGAGGTCAAAGGTCGAGCTGCTCTCCAGCTGCAGAGTGAGTCACAGCAGAGAACAAAAACACCAACAACATCACTGTAAAAATCACTGTTTACAGTCTCGAGTCAAAAACGCTGAAAGCGTCTGGTGTTTAAACCACATGGATTAAATACGTCAACTTTATACACAATCTGACTTTGTAAAAGTTTAGTGTACCATTTCTATTGAACTGCTGAGTCTAACATAAACAAAACAAAGCATACAAGTGCCATAACTTTTTCACAGGCCACAGTTTACATTTTATTTTTTTTCCAATATGTTAAATTTAATAAACAAGCATTAATAGTGTATTAAAATGTGCAGGACTGTGTCTCTGGAGAGGACGTGTAAACTTACTCACACTCGATTATTTAAATCTGGTAACCTTATATGATAAAAACATATGGTCGTATACAGTCGTGTGCAAAAGTTTAGGCACCTCCGGTCAAACTCCGAGTGTAGGTCAGTAATAACACTAATGTCAACACACTTCTGCACATCTTTAGGCTCAGCTCTGTTTTTGTTTGCTGAATTTAACATAATTTAACCTATTTAAACATAAAACATGGCCTGTGCAGGAATGATGGCACGTTTGATGTCGTTTGATTCGTTTTTGATCCTAAGTAGAGATGATGAGCTAAAATTTGTGTCTAAAACATGCAACAACTTTTTGCACACGACTGTATTTTTGTTTTTTTTCTATATGTGAGATCTATTACAAATATTCACAACACTAAAATACATTAATATACATACATTAAAAACACTATATGTATATTTATATTATTTTTCTTTTATATTATTTTACATGTGCAGCACTTTAACACGTTAATTTTTGTTCAACAGCACAAATAATAGCAGCAGTAGTTTATTAAGGCCTCAGGTGATGAGTTAATTAGAGTGAGTTAATTAGCTGCTGTGGACTCATTTCTAAATAAATAAATAAATAAATAAAGCAGACATACAGGTTTGGCTCTGTCAGTGACGAAACACTGTAATAACATCATATTTTAATTATTCACATTAGCAGCTCTGTAAGGCTCTTTATTGGCTAAATGCAACATCATGTAACTTTTATTTAAACAGAAAGTCTTTTGTGCTGATTGATTTCTGGTCCTGTGCAGGTTTGTGTAGTCGAGGTGTCTGTAGTGTCTGTGTTTATTACAGTACAGTTACTGTATACAGGCTGAATTCTACTGTGTTTATAGTGTATTTAACTGGGTATTAAACTACTGGCTGCATTAATTTCCTTTTGGAATCAATAATGTATCTATCTGTCTGTCTGTCTGTCTCTCTGCCTGTTTTTCTGTTTATCTATCTGTCTCTCTCTATCTATCTCTGTCTGTCTGCCTGTCCGTTCTCAGGTTTAGTTTTGATCCTAAGTAGAGATGATGGACTAAAATTTGCATTTGACTGTTTTTGTTTTTGTTCGTGCAAATATTCCAAACATTGAAAAACATTAAAATTTTTAAATACATTAAAATAATCACATTTCTACACGAATTACATCAACATTATACAGAATATGTTCAGTTTTTTCAACAACAAAAATATTAACAGTAGTAGTTTATTAATGTCTCAGGTGATGAGTTAATTAGAGTGAGTTAATTAGGGTGAGTTAATTAGAGGCTGTGGACTCTTTATTTATTAATAAATAAATAAATACATACATCAATAAAAGCATAAATAAAACAGCGCTCTGGCGGTGATTAAACACTGTAATAATAGTTATATTATAATTATTCAAATTAGCAGCTGTTTCAGCGTTAATTATGCTGATTATGCTAATATTATTGTTGTCACTGTGCTGTTTATGAAGGTATGATTATGACTGCGCTGCGGATGCCTGTCGCGAGGGGGCGCGCGTGCCTCTGCCGTCCTGCAGCGCGCGCAGTCCCGGAGCAGCGCAGAGAGTGAGTGAAATCAGCGCGAGACTCTCGCCGCGCTCGGGCCGGAGCAGCGGATTCACGCGCCGCGGTTCGTGTGTGTGCGCGCGCTAGAGAGAGACGCGGAGAGCAGTGTGTGAGAGTGACACGGTGCGTGTATGTGTGTGCGCGAGCGTGTATGTGTTTACACGCGGAATGCTGGTCTGATCCGCGCGCGCGTGAGGAGTGCGGAGGACAGCGCGAGCACATGAGCGGAGGACAGCGCGCGAGGAAAAAGTCTACAAGTTCAGCACGGTGAGTCCCGGAGACACGAGCCTCAACTTCAGCTCCCTGCCCGCCAGCCTCGTCTCAGAATTCCCCGTTCCACCTTATATCGTGCAGCGGTTACAGCCGCAGGCGCCTCAGTGTAACTGCTGCACCATTTAAGGTGGAACGGAAAATTGCTGTTAGACGCTGGCGGAGAGGAAACCGCTTTGTGGGGACCTGATGTCCCCAGATTGCTGGAAAAACATGACGGCGTGTGCCACGATAGGGACCTTTGGCAGGTCCTCGTTAGAATACAGAGCTTTAACTCAAACAGACCAGCTGCACCGCTAAAAACGGATTTCTAAAAGGGTTTTTGTGGATTTTAAGCAGCGTTTTTATACAGTTTGTACAGAAATTACTGAAAAGACCCCACAGAGACAGGAATACAGTGTGTTTGTCTGTTTAAAGGGCCCTTATCCTACATTATCCTACATTGTTCTTGTGTTTTCTTATACTTTTAAGGTTTGTGTGTTTTAGGTAACACTGTTAATTCATGTTTACAGGACAAATGCAATTTTTTATTTTTTATGTAAATGAGAGCTGTTCTGATTGGCCTTATTAAAAAAAAGCAGTGTGAACTGAAACACTCCTTATAACTTCAGTGTGAATGGGCGGAGCTAAACTGCTGTAGGCTGAAATTGACTATATTAATTGCTATAATTGCTGCACTCAATTTACTTCAAATGTGTGCATCTAAACTGGAATAAAACAGGTTACAGACACAGTTACAGCTAAAAGTAAGTAAACTGAACTACTGAAAAACTAAACATATATTTCATATTTTATTCATTTTTAATTGATTTAAAACAAGTCAGTTCTTTACAATCAACCATTTCACACCAAACCACTCTGAATCACTTACTTATAGGGGAATTTTGGAACATTTTATGGACTTACCCTTTAAGATGAATGGAATCTGTTCATGCAGCACCAAATTGACAACACTGGACAAAGTTTGCAGAAAACAGTGAGGACTGGTGAATTTCTGGGCTTCTGGTAATCACAGGAGCTGATTTAAGGTGGAACAGAATTGTGAAGCTTATTTAAGGTGGAATGGAATTGTGATGCTGATTTAAGGTGGAACGGAATCATCAGATCTGATTCACATCAGGGCAAAAAATCTGATTTGTGCCGCTTCAACCTGGCAATGTGAATGCAGCCTTAGTTTAGCAGTAGCTGTAAGAAATATTCAAACTAATGTGAAGGCTGTGTTCAGACTGCAGGCAGATCAGATTTCTTAAATCAGATCTTTTGGCTACGTTCACATTACCAGGCTGAAGTGGCACAAATCAGATTTTTTGCCCTAATGTGACTCAGATCTGATGTTTTTTCAGAGCTGTGTGGACACACAGATCTGGCCTTTTCAAATCCGACCTGAGCCACTTTCATATGTGGCCCCAGATCAAGTATGTATCAATGTGAACGCTCAGATCAGAGTTCATGTGTTTTTATTCAGTGTTTTTGTGGCAGCAGAGCCAGTAAATGGTGGAAAAGCAACACATCAACCCTTTTTCATCTTCGTCTCTCTCTAATGATGAGCAGCTGAGAGCAGGTTAGAGTTCATCATATTCGCAGTGAAGGTTTGTTCTGTTGGTTAGTTTGTTCGCTGTTCATACGTGATTCATTTATGTGACGTTACTGATTACGATGTGTTCATATGGGTCGTTTCAGCACACGGGTTCGTTCACATTAATGACAGGTTTGAGTCACCTATCTCCACGAATGTGAACCGTCGTGTTAGAGAGATCAGATCTGAGCAAAAAATCGGATCTTAAGTATGAGGCTCGTAACGTGAACATAGCCTTTGTGGCGACTGTCCGCTCTGTTATTTGCAAGTGGTCAGATCTGATTTGTGTGTCGACACATCACCAGCCTACCTGCATGGGTTGCCGTAGTAACGATGTAGGCGTGGGTGTCTATGTAGCTACGCTGATGACGCAGATTTCAAAAATACACAGATGATTCTACTGAACTGGTTCAGAGTCAGAGCTGAAACACATTCAGGACTTTAACTGATCTTAGACTTTAGACTAAACTCCTTTCACTCTGAGTGACTCTAAACCTTAATTATGATTATTTTATTAAAACTAATGATTAAACATTCCAAAACAATCATAACTACCCAAACTACCAAATGTTTCAGTAGTGACTGTTTCAGTAGTGTCTGTTTCGGTGGTGACTGTTTCAGTAGTGTCTGTTTCAGTAGTGTCTGTTTCTGTAGTGTCTGTTTCGGTGGTGACTGTTTCAGTAGTGTCTGTTTCAGTAGTGACTGTTTTGGTAGTGACTGTTTCGGTAGTGACTGTTTCAGTAGTGACTGTTTCAGTAGTGTCTGTTCCCGTAGTGACTGTTTCAGTAGTGTCTGTTCCAGTAGTGTCTGTTCCAGTAGTGACTGTTTCGGTAGTGACTGTTTCAGTATAGTCTGTTTCAGTAGTGTCTGTTTGAGTAGTGACTGTTTCAGTAGTGTCTGTTCCAGTAGTGACTGTTTCAGTAGTGTCTGTTTCAGTGGGGACTGTTTCAGTAGTGACTGTTGCAGTAGATACTGTTTCAGTAGCGACTGTTTCAGTAGTGATTGTTCCAGTAGTGACTGATTCAGTAGTGTCTGTTTCAGTAGCGACTGTTTCAGTAGTGTCTGTTTCAGTAGCGTCTGTTTCAGTAGTGACTGTCTCAGTAGTGACTGTTTCAGTAGTGTCTGTTTCAGTAGCGTCTGTTTCAGTAGTGACTGTTTCAGTAGCGTCTGTTTCAGTAGCGACTGTTTCAGTAGTGACTGTTTCAGTAGTGTCTGTTTCAGTAGTGTCTGTTTCAGTAGCGACTGTTTCAGTAGCATCTGTTTCAGTAGCATCTGTTTCTGTAGTGACTGTTTCAGTAGTGACTGTCTCAGTAGTGACTTTCAGTAGTGTCTGTTTCAGTAGTGACAGTTTCAGTAGTGACTGTTTCAGTAGCGTCTGTTTCAGTAGTGTCTGTTTCAGTAGTTACTGTTTCAGTAGTGTCTGTTTCAGTAGTGTCTGTTTCAGTGGCGTCTGTTTCAGTAGTGACTGTTTCAGTAGTGACTGTCTCAGTAGTGACTGTTTCAGTAGTGTCTGTTTCAGTAGTGACAGTTTCAGTAGTGACTGTTTCAGTAGTGTCTGTTTCAGTAGTGACAGTTTCAGTAGTGACTGTTTCAGTAGTGTCTGTTTCAGTAGTGACTGTTTCAGTAGTGACAATTTTTGCTCATTCTGAGCTCAGAAACTCAGCAGTTCATGACCAGCAAACACAGCTCTGAACAGCTGTTCACACAGAAAATCATCATATTTTACATTAAAACACTAAAAAGTGCTGAACTGCAGAAAATATGGCGATTCTTAATGTTCCACACTGATTTTCAGACTTTGGACACATTTACTTCAAAACAATGGGATCTAACTGCTCACCATGTGCCCATGAGGGACAGGGATGCAGCCTCACTTCCTGCTCTGAAATCCAGGGGCGGGGCCAAAATAAGGCTCCACAGACTAAAACTCTGTGTTTCGGTAGTGACGGAAACGTAGGGAAGCATTTTTATTTAAAATTTATACTACTTGTAAATCTAAATCTTTCAACTTTACATTAAATGTATTATTTATTATAAATTATTTATTATAAATTCAGTTATCTACAGAAGTGTAAATGTAGGGGTTTGGGTTTGGGGCAGACTCCTCTTAATAAGAAGTGCCCTATAAGTGATGATTGTGTATATATTTAGTTTATTACTTATGTCTTTTAATGTCTTGGTTTTAAATAGATCAGAGCAGAATCACTGTAAATATCTAAGATCTGAACTCTGTGTTGTTTTTTAATAGTTTTTACTATTAAAACTATTACTAATAGTTTTAAATTGAGATTTTAGAATGGTGATGGTGGATATGGTGATATTTGGTTTTCGCTGTATTGCTCAGCTCTAGTCGACAGTTGTTCCACACTAACGATGCACTGCTAAAACATTTGACCACAAACATTTGTGCACGAGTGCAGATGGTGCAGGTAATTTTGCTGACTGGGTTTCTGGTTTGTGTTGATTTCGCTTCTTGCACTGTGCTGGTTTACTGAACGCTCTCGTTGGAGGTTCTCTCAACAGTGTGAGCGTGTGCTCCAGCTCTGATCTGTGTGTGTGTGAAGTGTGGTTGTGGGAATGAGGCCACACACACACACACACTCACACTGGTGGACTGTAGTTGCCGTCTAAATGCCGCGAGCTGCAACAAGTCGACACATGAGCTGTTAGCTGCTATTTGAGAACAGAGCTGCTCCTCTCAGAGCTCCGCTTTAAACTCTGAACCAGCTGACGCACTTTCTGCAGCTCCGACACCGAACTTAGAGTCAGAACTGTTCACAGTGGTGGTGATAGGAACCAGACGTCCACCTCTAAAAGCTCCCTCACAGAAAGTTCCTACATGAAATGGTTATGAATTCACTGCCTGATGACTGAGACACTGTTTTATAAGAAGGTTTTGGTTCTAAAACGGATTAATCTGGTCAGTATATCTAATGTTTCTCATGTTGAGGTTGTTTAGCTGATTATAAAATCGTTGGACCCATATCAAGACATTGTTTACTCGTTTTGCATCGGTTCTCACTAAATCAGCAGGTTTGCTTGTTTTGCTTGACACATCAAAACTATCTTCCAGTACAGTGAGATATTCTACTTTTAAAACAACCCAAAAGTCTGGAAATGAGTTAAATGATTTCATAACAAGCAAAACAACCTCAGCATGAGAAACATTAGACCAGATTTAGGTTCATTTCACTTGATGATATAGAGTGTTTTTGCAGTGTATTCATGGTGGAGGGATACATGTGGGACATTGTGAGGCCAAAAAAATTTACTATTTCAGATTTTTCACTATTTTCTCATCATCAACATTCCATATAAACTCAGAAGACACAAATAGCTACTAAATCAAAATTTAGATTTTGGGTCTAAATTATGTTTTTAAAATATTAGTAAAATATCTTAAAGCTAGTGAATATTTTGT